GGGGTGGGGATGGGGTGGATTCAGGGGAGGGGCCGGGTGGAGATTGGGGGCAGAGATGGGGGCCATGGATGGAGGAGGGGTGGGGATGGGGCAGATGTTATGGGGATTGGGGTGGATTTGGGGAGGAAGGGGGAAGAGGAGGGGCCGGGTGGAGGAGATTGGGGGCCATAGATGGAGGAGGGGTGGGGATGGGCAGATTTTGAGGGGATTGGGGTGGATTTGGGGGGGAAGGGGGAAGAGGAGGGGGCGAAAGGTGGGGAGAGGGCAGAGGGGGGAGGTGAGTAGCCAGGGCAGGAAGTGGGGCGCAGAAGGAGGGGGAGGGGGCAGGGCACAGAGAGCCATTAGAGAGGCAACCACGGAGCCCTCCCCGCACCCAGACTGCCCTGGCGGGGGAAGCCCCATCAGGGACCACCTAGACCCCACCCCCACCCCTGCACCTCACCCCACCAAGGCCAGATCCTCCCTGTGTGAGGGGCAAGAGGAGGCTTCCCCAGACCCACAGCCCAGCCGCCCAACCTCTGCCACCCCTACACAAATGGGGCTGGATTTCTTTCTTTCTTTCTTTCCAGTCCCAGGGGACTGTCAGACGAGGTTCAGCGCCCCCTGATGGCCGGAGGAGACTGACTTATCCTAGACAAAGTGTGGGGAGGCGAAACCTCCCCTAAAGCTGGGCCCCCTCTGCGCTGATTCTCCACCCCCCAGCTGTGCCCACGGGCTCCTCCCACTCCTACGGCCCTGGGCAAATCCAATGACCCGGGGCTATTTGGTGGGGGGGCCTATTCCAGGCTCCCAGCGGTTCCCCTCCCCCAGCCCAAGATGCCCCATGAACTGAGCCAGGCAGGGTGGGCGGGAAGCAAGCCCCGCCCAACTAAGCCCTACCCCCGACAAGCCCCGCCCACTCACCAGCAGCGACGAATAGGATCCCGGCGCCCAGGATGATGTTGCGCTTGGACTTGTAGACCCGGCTGGCGGCCACGCAGAACCCCCCCAGCAGCAGCAGGATGGCGCTGAGGATCGGGAAGATGCTGGAGGCGCGGACCACACCTGGGGGGGAGGGGAGGGGAGGGGAGCAGAAGAGATGAGTCAAGGAGGGTGGCTGGAGGGATCCCCAAAGCCGGCCTATTGGTGAATGGGAAAGAGGCAGCGTTCTGGGACCAATCAGAGTCTCAGGTATTCTAGCATGCTGAGGCCAGTGGCCAATCAGAATCCAGGGACTTCCAGCCCTCTGAAGCCAACAGCTAATCAGAACATGGGATTTTTTTGACACTCCAAGGTCAAGAGACAATTACAATACAGGGTAGGTCAACAGCCAATCAGAGTCTCCAATTTCCGAGGTCAAGAACCAATCGGAGAACAGGATTGCTCAAGGTTCTCAACCTACCAGCCAATCAGCAGGATTATTCAAAGATCTGAAAGGATCACACAGATTACAGATTTCCCTATGCTCTGGTGTCACAGCCAATCAGAATCCAACTTCTGAGGCTGCCAGCCAATCAGCATTCAAGGTTTTCCATCATTCTCAGGCCAGTTGGCAAGCAGAGTGACACTGTGAGGCCAGCAGCCAACCAGAGCTGTGGATGTTCCAACGCCAGTGAGAATCTGGGATTTCCCAGCATATTAATGCCACCAGCCAATCAGCATCTGGTATCACTCAGCAGTCAGTCATTTCAGAATGCACCAGTCAATCAGCATCTGGGTCCATTTACACTTCTAAAGCTCTTAGCCTGGGATTTCCCAGCCTGGGGCAGGACATTAAGGAAGCCAAAAGTCAGGAATGGCTGGTGTTAAGAATGCCTAAATCCCCTTAACTCTGCCCCCTTGGAAAAAACAGAGTCTCTAAGGATGCCACCTCTTGCTATTCCTTCAGCAGAGGGCTCATTTTGCTCAGCGTATGGGAGGGAGAAAGGGCTGGGGTGTACTGAATTGCCAGGTGTCTGCCCAAATGAAATAAAATAATACAATATTTCTCTGTTAAATCAAATCACTTAAACATTGATTGTTCAAGACAGACAGATAGATATAGCTATCTGTCCCCACAAGTACCATTCTGTCCATCCAGCCTCATATCCATCCATCCAGTCCCCCCTACCCCTTTATCCATCCATCCTCATACACATACCCATCCATCCATCAGCTCCTAGCAGATGGCTCCACTCGATTCCCGGCCAATGGGAGCTGCGGAGCCGGCGTTCGGGGTGTAGGCAGCGCGCGGAGCCAGGTAGGGAGCCTGCCAGCCCTGCCAACACCCCCACACCTGCACCAGCGGGGGTCCTGGGCCACACACCACTGCCCACACCCCCCAGCACCCGCAGCACCCCCGGGATGCTCCCCCCATGAGCACCCGTGGTACCCCCTGGCCACCCTGAGCACCCACAGCGCCCCCCGGGCTGCCCCCCTCCCAGCCCACCTGGCACCCCCAGCGAGGATTGGTGAAAATACTGGTTTGTAGGACTTTAGTTTAAAATAATTGGTTAAGGTACAGCTAAGCAGGACACAAATTTCACTATATAACCTGGAGTCCAAAGGAAAGTTCAGAACCTAACTCCAGGACACAGCCCAAGATCAGAGCTGCCAGATCTCAACACCCGACCAGAAGCTCGAGTCCCCAGACGACCTGATCCTGACTGGCCACCAGGAAAAGTTCGTCTGCCTTATTGGGAGTGGTGCTTAGCGTGTGCGTTCTGTTTTGGTAACTGTTAGTAAATAGAGGTTAAGGATATTACTGTGTAAGACTCTTTCACTGGTAAAAGGCCCCGCAAACCTGGAGACGATTAGGCCCTGAGCCCTAGGAAAATTAACTGGATTACGCCTTGAGTCCACGGAAGGGTAAAGGTGGGGTGCCATAGAGTGTGGGTAACATGCTATCTATATACAGAGAGCCTTTGACAATAGCTGTGAGAGGCATGAGCTGCCCCTATTCATGCTAGCTCAGTGGTTTGGGCATTGGCCTGCTAAACCCAGGATTGTAAATTCGATCCTTGAGGGGGCTATTTAGGGATCTGGGGCAAAAATCTGTCCGGGGATTGGTCCTGCTTTGAGCAGGGGGTTGGACTAGATGACCTACTGAGGTCCCTTCCAACCCTGATATTCTATTATATGATTTTATGCTGAGTGGCGTGTTAACTCTGAAACCTAATGATGACCGTCAAACCTTGAACCTGCCTCACTATTAGCATTTATTTGTATCTTTAAGTAGCAACTAGAGACCTTAACTGAAATTGGGGCTCAGTCATGCCAGGGGCTGCAGTCACAGAGTGACTGAGACAGGTGCCCCATCGCACCGGGCGCTGCCCAAAAACAGAATCGCTGAGATCAGGGCCCCGTCACGCTGGGCACTGCCCAGACAGGGAATCACCAAGACTGGAGTCCCATCATGCTGGGCTCTGCCCAGATACAGAATCACTGAGGTCAGGGTCCCATCATGCCGGGTGCAGCACAAACCAAGAGACACCCTAGCGGCTTCCGATCTATATAGACAGAGAGGAAGTATTCCTACATCTGCTTCTGAGCCCTTGACTTTGCACGTTTAATGGCTTCTTCGCAGATTGTTTTTTTTTTTCTTGTGCATGTGGAAACGGAATTTCCCAGGCTTTTCTTCTGCACTTCCCTCCTCCCTCCCCCCGCAACCCTCCAAACCGAACCATCTGCTTCCACCAGCAGGCCGGAAAAAGGAGAGACAGCCCGAAAGCTAAGCCAGCTCCGGCCGGGTAGGCTGCTCCCGGCCAAATCAAAATGGATTTGCACGGAGACGGAGAAAAGAACTGGCCCAAGGGCAATTTCGCTGCCAAACTTCCACTCCGGCGCCCCAGCTGGTGTGGGTGCCAGCGCCGCGTTTTAAAAAAGACATCAAAGTTTACACCGTTTTGGGGTCTATCCTGGGCTATTCTCTCCACAGCCTCTGCACTTCCAAACTGCTTTAAGGCACAGCCTGGAATGGCAAACAAGGTTGGGCCGGGAGCACAGACGGGGCCTGGGGTATTTAACCCTGGAAGGGGAACAACATGAGCATGTTTAAAAAAAGGGGCTTGGAATTGGAAAGTTCAGGCAACCTTAGCTAGAGATGGGGACAAAGCCGGACTAGACTGCAATTCCTTTCCAGGTCAACTTCCCGCCTGTATTACAGCTGTCGGGAACCCCAAAACTGAGACGCCCCTGCATCTCCTCCTGCATTTCAGCCCCCAGGAAGATGCCATGCTATGCGCTAAGCAGGATTCCCGCTACGGCACAGGGCCATTGCGGGTCGCGCCGGTGGTGCAGCGGGGGACCCCCATGGATACGTACGCAGGAGATACTCTGCGCTGTCGTGGTCGTAATCTGTGTCCTCGGGGAAGTGGTTAATTTTCACGCACACACCCCTCTTCAGGCCTGCAACAGAGATGGAGAAATCAGAGTTTGGGGCCTCTCTCCCGCCCAGTATCCGGCTCAGACCAATGGGGACGCCGACGCTGCGAGCTTCCCCACAGCGGTGCCCAGACGGGGATGCTGATGTTGTGAGCTTCCCCACAGCGGTGCCCAGACGGGGA